CGGGAGGGTCAGAGAGCTCTCGGAATTCATCAAAAAATATCTTAATTTGTGTTCCGAAGATGAACGACGGTCTTACAGGTTTGGAACAACATGAGGGTGAGTAATTAATGACAGAATTTTCATTTTGGGGTGAACTAACCCTTTAAAGGTTCTTTATGGAACCATTTAGACAAAAAAGTTTCTTCTGGCATCGTGAAGCACCTTTATTTTTAAGAGTGACGGTCTATTAGATGATGCAAAAATACAACACAAACATGTGCAAAAAGAGGAACATGGCAAGACAGAAAGAATTTCTGCAGCATTCTAACATGAGAGCTCTTGAAAAGTACTTCTGCGAGGCATTTGAGTGTGTACTTCCCCAGAAATTAATGTGCAGTACACACAAGTGTTTCCTGCACTGCTCTTCACCCCTGCTGGATCTACAGTGCCACGGCAAGAAATATCTCAGAGTTTTTAGCTTGTAGTCTGAGCTGTATGCAAAAAAAAAACTATTCAATGGCAAGAAAACATCTTTTTATTGAGCTGTCTTTAGGGGCTGCATGCAAAAAGTAACACAACCTGAACAGTGTATTCTGATTCACCAACAAATGACTCGAATGAGCTGGTTCTTTTAATAAAATGATTTCAATAAGTCAGAAAATATAATTCATTAAATGAACAGAGCGATTATTGAACCAACATACTGAATTTCAGTGACGTCTGAAACAAAGTGAAGCAAGAACTGTTTTAAACCAACTTAAAATTGTTCAAAACACAATTGTTTTATAATAAATTGTATTTCAGTATATAATATTAAAAGATATTTAAGTATAAAAAACTTTTTTCAAATAAATAATGCCGTTAAAAAATGGTACAGTTTAAATTTCATATAGATTAAAATCCATATATTGTGTATGGTGAAGGGTGACAAATATCTGGAAACACTGGTATACATGTTCATATTAGTTGTTTCTAGAGTTGACATTTCACCAAAAAACAAGAGAGAGAGAGAGTGTGAGAGAGAGAGAGGGAGAGAGAGAGAAACTTGCCAAAACTAGACCATCATCAATCTTTTTCTCAAGTCACGGAATCCCGCATGAGATTCATAAACCCCTCAGCCTTCCCTGAATGCAATCCATTTTTTTTTCATCCATTAGACACTCTATACATCATTAGTAAATCAACAGCTTTGCTGCCATCCATTTGCCCACAATACGGTTATGACACACCTATAGTGGCTCAATAAAGTCGCTCTTAAAAAGACTATAAACATCATTGTTACAGAAAGTCAGTTGCATTGGCCAGTGATGCTCTACCTTTTCTAACTCATTTTATAATTGTGCAAACAGATAAATAAATTGTCTTTCTAATATTTCATCAAAACTTGCTCAGCCTGAAATTATTATTTGTAATTTTTTTTTTTTTTGCTGATGTCACTAAGCACTCTTATTTTTCCATCTCCTTTCTCCATCCTTTTCTGTAGTAAATCAGCACAAATTAAATAAATATATCAATAATGTATTATTAAAAAACATCTCATCATTTTATTCAGATTCGAAATTAAGGCTACGTCCACATGAAGCCAGAGTTTTCCCTATCCGATCTTTTTTTTCCCCTCGTCTCAAGAAATATCTGCGTCCACACGAAACCACGAAACCGACACAAAGTATACAAGTATACATGCCAGACCTGTATGTGGCGCTGTAATTCTGCCACAGAGATACACTAAAAACAGAGAAGATTTGGACTATGTGCATAAACCTTGCGCGCGGTATACAAACGAACATGGAACAATACATTTATTAATCTGTGTTAATGTTAGTTAATAAAAAGACAATTGTTCAGTGTTTGTTCATGTTTTTGTTGCTGTTACGTGATGTAGCGGTGTCTGACTAGGGGCAAGACGTGGGCTGATAACGTCATCGTTTCAGAAAATATACGGATTTGCTGTCTACACGAAAACGCAAGGGCAGCGTTTTCAGATTTATCCAATCTGGGACCCGGTTTCAAAAAATATCGGTTTCACTCTCCCAAAACGCCGGATCCGTGTGGACGAAACGCCTATACGATACAAAATTTATGCGTATACAGCTAAACGCGTCTCCGTGTGGACGGGGCCTAAGAGTGGAGATACAGAATTCAACATCAAAGGAACGTATCAGTCTTTTAAAAATGCTAGAACATTTAATTTGACAATAACTGAATAGAGGTATCCACAATAATAAAGGTTCAGAAAAACACCCACACTTATTTGAGCAAAACATGTTGAAAGACAGATGGAATGTTTTATATTTAAAGCCTTTCAGCATGGTATTATATTGACAAAGATGTCTGTTAGACCGCCCTTGACCTGGGTACTCAAAACGCTGCAGCCCATTTACAGAACAATGTTCTGTAGAAAACTGAACATTGTTGACATTCAAACTGACTTATGTGAGAGATAGAAAAAACTAATTCTTGGAGTGGCTAACTTTACTTTCTTCTTTGTTTGTATAGGGCAAGAGAGCTTCAACTCCAAGAGTTTGGCCCTTCAGGCCCAAAAGAAGATCTTGAGTAAAATGGCCACCATGGCCGTGGCAAATCTCCTCACAGATGATACCAGCAGCGAGATTCTGGACGAACTCTACAAGGCCAGTCGTGAATACACCAAAAGCAAGAAGGAAGCTCACAAGATCATCAAAGATGTCATCAAGATTGCCCTGAAGATTGGCATTCTCTACCGAAACCACCAATTCAGTCCTGACGAGATGGAGACCGTCGAACGCTTCAAAAAGAAGATGAACCAGGCGGCCATGACGGTGGTGAGCTTTTACGAGGTGGAGTACACATTCGACCGTGGCATTCTTTCCGAGCTGCTGATGGAATGTAGGGACCTTCTCCATGAGCTGGTGGAGCACCACTTGACCGCACGCTCCCACGCGCGGATCGACCATGTGTTCAACCATTTCGCAGATGTGGATTTCCTGACCAAGCTGTACGGCCCATCTGAAGAGTACAGACTTAACCTGAGGAAGATCTGCGATGGGATAAACAAACTCCTAGATGAGGGCACACTTTAACCTCCAGTTCACGGTTCGTCGGATGAGACTTCATCAGGCTACTGGGATTTGAATGGCGGGATTTTACGCAACTTGTGTTCTTTGGCTTTTGTTTGAAATTTAGGCTGTCATGATAACTTGATGATGTGATTGTAACCCAACCTCTAGGGATGGTCAACCAAATGCAGATTAAAGTAAAATCCTGGTCTGTATTGTCAACGTACCAGATGATTGTTTGGGGAAAATCCATTTAAGTGGAGAACCTGAATGAATCGGTGTCCCGAAAACCTGTCCTTTGTGTGCAATTGCAGGAACGTTTTAAATTACGGGCTCCTTTATTTGCACTGTATGAAATCTGACCCTACCTATCCTTTAAGAATGGCCTAGTAATGCAACCCTAGCTTTCTTCTGTACTTCCATAAGAACCAGTTAAGATGTCCAGTTAATCTACTCAAAAGTTAAAGGGATATAGTTCATCCCAAAATGAACATTCTATAGTCAACTTCATGATGTTCCAAACCTGTATGGCTTCATTTTTATTGTGGAACACAAAGGAGATGTTTAGCATAATCAAGGTGTTTTTCTTTTTCTGTAAAATGTAATTAAGGGGGGGGAATAAAACTATACATATATATATAAAACTGTACCATAAAAGTGATACTTTCAGTGATAGTTTCCCCTTCTGCTATTTCTAATAAATTTTTAAACATAAAATTTGGTGCAAATCAATCAGTTATGAAAGAAAGACGCAAAAAAAAATTAAATTTGGTATTACTGATGGCAAACCTGACAGAATGTGCTCTCTTAACACATTTGAACGTGAATCAATGTGAATGCAACAGCTTCGAATATCATTTAAAGCTTGACAGAGTCTGACCCCATTCACTTTCTTTGCACCACCTCTTGGATTCTTCCGTAGAAATAAAGTCATACAGGTTTAGAATGAGATAAAGCCAAGTAAATGATTATGAAAATTATATATTTTTGGATGAACTATCCCTAAAGCGTTGAGAGCTTAAAAGAAAAATGGCGCAAACCTTTGTTAAACCTTTGTTGAACAGAGCATACGCCAAAAATAAATGAATAACTGAAGTGCAGCAGAAAGATTGTAAATAAAATTTGGGGTTTTGGTCTTCTGTCTTTTGCCTTTGTAATGACTCAGTGTCACAGCTACCATGATCTTGTGCTTGGTTTTTCCAGATCCTGATGTTTCAGAGCATGTAAATGTGTGTATACGTACATGCAGAAGAGAAATGTGACTATTCCATAAGCCTGTTCAGTAACCCCAGAGTGTAGCACTATTATCTGTCATTAAACGATCCATATGAACTTCCTGTAGTGTCCTTTGGTCATTTCAGCTACTGTGGTTGATCTGTGTTTGATTTGGTCCATACTGTTTAGCCAGTTAAGGGTCTACTGCCAGTTAGAACCCAGACAGCAACATAGTGTTGGCCCAGATCCGGTCCATATCTGGCCCGTGTGAAATCCATGCGGGCCGGATCTGGGCTGACACTGGTTTGTTGTCTGGGAATAGTATTCTGCGTTCCATTCAAATTCAGATGTGGGATATCTCAACTTCAATTTCTATCTCCCCTGATCATAAACCATTCTTTTGCAATTTAGAAAGTACATTTATTGTGATCTTCCAAAAAGGAAGTTCGATGGATGAGTTAAATGGAATGCAGCATTATTCTACTCAACATGTTTGGTTAACTAGAATAACTCTGCAGGGACATCTTTGATGACCTTGGCTGCGTTCACACTGTCAGTGTTTGGGATTGACAACTACATTTACATACAGGTGCGAGTCTCTAAATGTCCTGCAAGTTACCCAAACCACACACTAAACGCATATGTTCAGCGCAGAGCTCTCTCGCACTATGTAACGTGACAGATAACTAGTTGTCCTGTACGGTTCCATCCGCACATCAGGGCTTTGCCGGTGTGAGATCAGTTATAGCCTAGAATGCGATTGTCACTTCTGTAAATAACCAAAACATGCGTGAGCGCAATACTCAAATAAAGGTCTGACTATATTCTGCCGCAGTGTGAACGTGGCCCTTGATAAATAAGAATGTTAACTTGTAGTAAAGCTTATTACAGTAGTTTTATTTGAGTTGCACATAAGTCCAGTGATGTTCTCAAGAAAGTGAAAGTATGATTCTACTACAACATGAATAAGTATTTACAATTTTGAGTGAACTATCCCTTTATCCAGTTTTAACAAATGGTCTAGTTTGTCTCTCATAAGTTTGGAAATTATATTACAACATCACTTGTGATTAACTGATTTTGTTTGGAATGAAATGGAGTCGTGGTACAATTTTATATTTTGCTCTTTTTTTTTTTCATTTCCCATCAACAACAGGGAGCTTTTTGCACTAATGTTATATATTGAAAACCAAAAGAATCACATTAGATGAACAAATTATGCTTTAATAATGTATCTTCTATCTTCTCATTCTCGTGTTGCCAGAGAGAAAGATAGGAAATGGAAATCGTTTGGTTTCTTCGTAAACCTCGGCTAAATGAGTGTTTTCTGGCAAGCTTTTTACAAACTAAATTGTATCATCAACGTTCAGAAGTACAACGTATTATGATCAATAACAATCTGCTTCTGCCATAATTCCTGACATAATAATTGACAAGCCCGGTTTCCCGCTGGTAATTATTACTCATGCGCTCAACTTGTAAATACGATCATTCTAACATGACTTGAAAACAGCGTTAGATGATGTGACTAATGGGAGTTCAGTTAAATCACTCTATTCAACCACAACTAAAGGCACATTTTATACAACACAAAGAAGTTCTGTATGAGGCAGATCCTTTTAAATTAGAGAAGAGGACTCACCATTTACTAACCATGTCTGTCAGAGTTAAAACTTCCTTTTCTATTAACATAAAGCGTTTTAATTCCTCTTTTCTGAACACAAAAAGAAGAGAACAGACTGACATTTCTCTGTGTTTGAAAGACCACATTTAAAAAGCATTAAGACAGAAATTAAATGCAAGACAAAGACGCTTTAATGACAAACATCTGGTGAACTTTTCTTGCCATTCATTCACTTTTAAAAGTTACTAAGCACTCACTGGTCCAAATTCCCTGTCATAGCTGTATGAGTCAAGGGGTCAAGGTTTGACTGGGTGGCTTGGTCCAGTTAGTCCCTGCTGGTAGATGTTATAACTACACAATTACAGCATATAGGGCAACAGCTTCTTTCTCCATTGACAGCCATTCAAAAGTAGCCACATATTCTGAGAAAATAAAATTAAATATAGCATCTAAAGAGCATTTATTCCATTAAAGAATGCATTAGTGCCCGCCTATACTTGCAGCGACATTGGTTTCCACTCATTTTTCCAATTGTCTTTGTTAAAGCATTATAAGCATTGAACCAAGCCAACCAGTTACAAGGTGAATCACAACATTACACACTTTTACACCTTACATTGTATTTAACACCTAGTGAGGGAAGAACTACAATCCCATGAAGCATTGCAAATAACTTAATCAAATTAAAAACAACGGAGAACTATAAAACTATTCAAAGTTGTTGATTATATCTATAGAAACAATATATTACGTTTTATAAATAATAATAATGTGAACGGATGGCTTTAATAAAAAGCATATACCATTGATTAAGAAACTTGGAACTCTCAGTACTGAGGTCTGTCTTTAAAGGTTTATAAGTTATCGTTTAAAATCTATTTCCCTACGGAGAAAATGAGATTTTACTTCAGGAAGTCGACTGCTGCACTCTGTAATAAAGCAGATGTTTTGCCAGTAACCAGTTTCTGGAGAATTAATTAAACTTAACCATACACTGCTTTAAGAGATTTGTTTTTTAACTGCTTAAGAATGATTTTTAAAGAGAACACACACACACACACACAAATGCCTCAAAGGTTAGTGTTTTTTTCTCATATACAATGAAAGTCAATGAGTGCTAGAGTTGTTTTGAACCCATGCAGCTGACTTTTATTGTATGGACAAAAAAAACTTATTTGGGGGGAAATTATACAGAAAAAGTGGCATACATAAGCAGACTCTGCCTAGGCTTGTTAATGAGGAATGGCACCATTTTTTCTAACAGCTCAGGATCGCCCACACAGTGGCTTCACAGATCAAGTATGTGCGACTGAAAGCCCAAATTTAGCTGCCACGGCAGACTGTGCTGGGTCGGGTCTCCCAGAAATGAAATAATTGTGGTAGAACAGAAAGACATGACAGGCTGTTAGACATCAACAGGTTACAAATCAACCCACACACTCAAACACCCCCTCACAGTGTGCACTAACAGGGGAGCCTTAGTAAGATGAATGACAGTGCTTAGATCAAAGCGGTGGGGATGTGCAGGGTTGCCAGGTCTGCAAAACAAGGCCAAAAATGGCCATTCAAAAATTTAAAATAATGCAATTCCCATACCTAAAGTGCATATTTAAATAGTCACTATTACGCAAATTGAAAACACTAGTGATCATAAACACAACTTAAAGGTTCCCTACCAAATCTTAACATAATACAGTAGCACAGTATTGTCATTGGTTCAATGCAAGCATTTCAGCCAAATATAATTCATGCAGCATTTCAAACCTTAAATCCACAGGTGAACAAAAATCAACCCACAGCAACACTTTAAACGCAGCAAAATTCCACGTGAAACCCATAGACTTGGCAACCCTGTGGCAGAGGGTTTATATATATATATATATATATATATATATGGCCTGATTCTTTAATGAATCCGTTTGTTTAGACGATTTGAATCGATTAGAAACTGTTGGTTTGATTCGTCACTCAAAGATGAGTACATTGATGAAATAAATTATTGTTTAATGGTCTTCTCTCATCACGTTTCTAAATTGTAATTGTCTCACTCTCACTGAAAAACGGTCTTAAATGTTGTTTTTGGTTTGGTTATTGTTCCAGTATTTGTGCTTTGTTCCATTTTGTTCTCCCTCATAAACTAGGGATTTACGAACGCTTTTCGAAACACTAAGATCAAATCATTAAAATTATCAGCTCAAAAGAACGATTCATTTGTGAACCATGACTTTGATCGTCTGACCGACAGTCAAACTCGCTTTTGAAAGACGATTTTCTCTCCTCGGTCTAATCTATAGTTACTCTGAACTTTCATAGCGCGCCTCTATATTTGAATATCTTTGAATAAAAGGAAAACTGCTCTATAATTACACCCATGACAGAAAGAGGGTGGGATGGAGAGAGAGTTGAACACTCTGGTTTTAATCTCTTTATAACACCCACCAACTAACTCTCACAGACCACCCACCTCTGCTCCATGACTCACTATGGACACGCCATCCAGCCAAAGGCTCATAAAGCACACATGAACTTACACACACACTTAGACAGACTCTCTTTGTTTACACAAATCATGACAGTGCATGATTAAAATTCACAGACCATTTTTAGTATCCTGAAGGTGTCTTTGAAGAAAAGAGATTCACATTGTTAGATGACAGAACATAAGAGCCATCTTTAGAAATATCTTTATAAAGATTTAGTAGTATACAAAGTTGGTATTCACATATCAAAACAATCAAATCATCTGATGTTTACACATTTCTGCATTTAGTGGTGCTAAAATATCCATACATACAGCACAGAATCACAAACAGAAGAGACCTTCTCTCTGCAGACATCATATGATATAAGCAGACTTTCACATGACATGAACATTTTGTATGCGTTGAATAACTCATCTGAGATCATTTTTCTAATCAACAATCAGTGAAGCTCCAGCTACAGAAATAAGAGGCACCAAATCAAACCCTCATCTTTTTAATATTCCCTGCATTTATTTTTTACTAACGATGTTGCGTGAGATGAGTTCTTTCATGATCTCGTTGGTTCCACCGTAGATGGGTTGAACTCTGGAGTCTGCAAAGGCCCTGAAAGAGAGCACACGAGACAATCATTAAAATGTTTCTAATGCATTTCATTTATGAGTCAAGATTGAAAATCTGGCTGGGTGAATCTCAAGAGTGTTCCCGTCATATTTCACCTCAAAATTATATTAATTAAAGCCTATTTTTAGGACCATTAAGATTTTTTACATAGTGACATTTTCATGGCAATCACATTTCCCCTCAAATTCTTATTATCATTAGGAAAAAAATCACTCTCATTACTGAAACACATAAGAGATACTGCAAATATCTATGAATACTTCACAATTTAAATAATATATAAGTAGTTTTACATTAAAGTAATGAGGACCAGAAATGTACTCATCTTTTATTACAAAAATAAGAATTTGGGAAGATAATGTGCTTCATTGTCATGAAAGTAAAAGACTCTTAATAGTCAAAAAAAAAATTTTTAATTATTATTATTATTTTTTTTTTGTGGAACATGTATATTTTTATCTCGTTTTGGGGTTAGACGATCTCTAAAAGCTGTTTTTTTTTTTTTATTTTTTATTGCACTAAGCAATATAACAAATTTTAAAAGACTGGTCGTGTATGAATATTCCAGAAGGCTCTGAAAGAGGCATTTTACACCTACACATGGTACATCTGCTGCCAAGAAAATATACAAATATATAACAGACTGCAGTTATCAAGAGTGACTAATCAGAAATCATAATCAAACTGTAGTTTCCATGGAAAAAATATTTAAATGTGTTTCACAAAACACAGAAGGTCTTCTATAAATGACCATTCAAATGAATCCAGTTTTAGCTCCATTTAAATTGTGAGATATTGTGGCGGTGTGACAGTGCAGAGCTGAGAGAAACGCGCCCTCTGCTGGACACCAGAATAACAGTCAAGGAAAAACAAGCTGTCAAGCTCCTTAAAGTAATATGATTTTCACTTAATGATTTTTCACACAAATAGAAGGCACCGCTAGCTTATGAAGTTCTATCAAAGTTATGGCATTCATGCATGAAATGCATGCATTTTAAATGTATTTGAAAAGGTAGCACTTTTTCCGTCAGATTAATGCAATTCACATTGTTCACATACTTTATGTGAACAACGTGCGGGAAAATACAAAAATCTGTATAAATACATAGCAATCACGTTCCTGCAGCACTGACAATGTAAATTTCTCTTGTTTTAGAAGAAATTCTTTTGAAATGACGTGACCATTTTCATTTGTAGGTGAACTAACTCTTTAACAACTGTTTGGCGTCACTGTCACAGAACCAATATTGTACAGCATTCTGATCGTACACTTCTCAGTGACTGTTACTCACTTGGCTATCGGATACTCCCACATGTAGCCCCATCCTCCGTGAAGCTGCAGGCACTGAGTAGCAACACTATTCTGCAAATCTGTGGCCCTAGGGAGGGAAAAAGACTTTGTCACACAAAACTGGTGTAACATTAAGTGTGCAAAATGATGCAAGAAATGTAGTGCTTTCTATAGACTTCATCAGGCATGCAAAGCTTCACATAAAACGAAACCAAACAGTAGTGCTTTTTAAAATATCTTGTTATTTGCCATTATTGTCACAATCAGCATGAAATGGAAGCTGCGACTGACATTACTATTGTACTGTGATGCATTTCTAAGTGAAACGACTTGTAGAATGAGAATACATGTGGCGGGGAGATGAGATCTGGATGATTCAATCAGTTAGATTCAAAGTTCAAAACATCAGCTTTTGACAGTACAATAGTGTTTAGCAGTGATAAGAGAAATTACCATTTTTGAATGAAGATGTATGAAGTACAACAAGTCAAACAAAGCAGCTTTCTGATGGTCAACGCTGTGAATTTGAATGATCATCTCATCTGTGTTGAGAAATCTTTTCGCCCTTGAGTGAAATTCCAGATTGACTGGATTTTGCCCAAGAAAATTGCCAACAAAGCAATGGTAAATGTGACCGTAACTTTGGGCAACAATAAGAAATAATGAACTTTCACTCTTCTTATTGTACTATACAAGCCTGTGCATTTAGTAAATTTATTAAAACTGACCAGAGATCAGTTAAATAAAATTAGACAATCTTTCATGGGTTCACTAGATCAACGTCTCTAATGACGAACCATCAGAATTTTGAAACATTTTTAAAACCAAGGATCTTAACAGTATAACATGATGGAGTTTAGTTTGCAAAAATCACATTATAGCTAGAATTTTGCCTCTATTTGCTGTCTGGACAGGCTCCGCTAGTCGCTAGTGCTTTTTTCATCATCAAAAGTCTCACCAGTATTTGGCCATGGACGCTGTGCTTGAGTCCAGCTTCTTCTCACTGTGGAGCTGAAGGCAGCTGTCAATAAAGGCTCGACCTACACAGACTTCTGTCTTCAACTCAGCCAGTTTGTGCTGCACCACCTGAAAGATGGTAGATGATCAGTTATAGTTCTGATGATAATGAGGTTTTATTAGTCCAAACCTGATTTAGCCCTCACTGATTCTACCCATCCATATGTATAAATGAACAGTGTAATGGAGCTTATTCAATTTCTCTGAGCATCTGTCTCAAACTGCAGGCAGGCTGGAGGGATACAATTACAAAGTGAGTGTGTGGCCGTGACCTTACGGGAGGTTAAAAGCACACTAAACAAATTACGAAACTAATTGAGCAGAGAAACTTAATACAACTGAAAGGGTTTTTTTAAAGAGGTCAAACCATAAAGATTTTATTATTTTTCTTTCTTTTTTTAAATAGAAAAAAATAAATAACTAAAAATTCTATGAAAACAACCATACTATATAAATAGTTACTTTATTAAAATCAAGTTGTGGCTTGTTCTGAAGTTGCTAGTTTTCTGTCATCAAAAACTATAGCCGATCACATGTCAACAATGCCTATAAAGTGTTCAGAAACTTGGTCCGGCCAGTCACAGCAAGGTAATAGAGTGGAAGTAGGACAGATACTAATCTCCAGAAGAACTAATGATGAGTAAAATGTGTCAAAGTTCACCAAATCTTTTGCTCTTGCTTGTTGTGTTTAGAACCTGAATCCCTCTGAAGTTTATATGTAGTTTGTTTCCTAATCATTTCAGTCTAATCCTAATAGATTTTTCATCATATTTCAGTGTTTATTGTTATGTGAACCAGGCAATTAGACTATTAAAAAGAATGGAACATGTCAAAATTACATTAGACATGAGAGAACAGTGCTGTGTTCTCTCATGTCTAATGTAATTCACAGATTAAAATAGAAAAGCTTAATTGTTTACGTGGAAAAATGATGCAGAGCTTTTATAAAAGATAAAACAGTATTTTAATGAATCTTTATTTACTGATAACAAAAATTTAATGATTAATTAATTAGTAATTAAAGGGACAATTTTTCTGTAGTTTTTTATTTATATTCCTATAACAATGTAAATAAAAATCAGTATCAACAAAAAATAGGGATAATGTTTTAGAAATGTTTGCTTGCTTACCTTCAATTATATACAAAAATAAAGTTAAATTTTTTTTAAGCAAAAAAAAAAAAAAAAGCTTTAACATGTCCCCTTTATATTTACCTGCAGGTCAGCGATGGTCTTGCCGAACGCCTTCCGCTGCATCACATAGTTCCTTGTCTCTTCAAACATGAACTCGCAGCTGGCAAGAGCCATGACTGATATAAGAAGGCGCTCCTGCAAAATGACAGAAAGAAATCTCTCCCTATTCATATTATAGTTCATTATAATGGGGTGTGAGCCCATTTGTAGAGCTTTTCAAATTCCCAAAATCTTAATCCCCTCATATTTTGATATCTTATGCCGACAATGCAATCCATGTACAAAAGATCTTCACAGACGGAGGCAATATGTGAAAAGGAATTGATTGGGTCCTAAAGCAGGTTGTTAGAAATAGGGACTCAATAATACAAATAATACTCATTTATGCTCTCTACATTCTTCAAAAGCAGCACTGTGTTTAGAAACACTACTTTTTAAGGCATTATATGGAATATATATCATACAACTACCCACACACAAGCCATTAAATATGTTGCAGTATTATCAAGAATAAGAATAGGAAAACTCAAAAGAGAGCAGCAGATTTGTACTCTCACTCTTATACCTGTGGCAGCTCATTCATCAGATAATAAAATCCCATATTGGCCTGACCCAACAAAGCTTCAGCGGGCAAACGCACATCCTCAAAGAACAGTTCAGCTGTATCCTGCACAGAAACAAATACCCAATACATTTATAACTAGACCTCTTTATTAATCTATATTAAACTATAATGTAAATTTAATTCGTAGACATTTCAATAAATTCTAAGTAAACTCTTACACAAACTGGCTATGTATGTATATATTATATATTATTCTATGTATTATATGTATATGTATATTATATATTATATGTATATATTATTATATATCATTATGTACTAATATATTAGGTTATGTATTTGGGAAGCTTTAAGGGGAACCTGAGCTTTAAGTCCGAGCTTCTCCAGTTTGCGGCCCTTTTGGAAGCCCTTAGTGCCGCTGTCAACCAGGAACAGACTGATTCCATGAGCTGCTGTCTTTGCTTCACGGTTAGTTACAGCAACAACAATCACCACATCACTCATCCAGCCGTTAGTGATGAACACCTGAGAGAAAGTGACCAAAGAACAAGACTGTGATTTAACAAAACCTGATGGAAAATTCAAAACAATTGAAAATAACTAACCAACTAATCGGCAGAAGATTCACTCTTTATTTATTTAAGTTATTTATTCATTTATTTTTAAATTATGATTGTTTTTGATGAAAAATCTTATCAACATTATAAGTGCACCTCAAGGTAAGTAAGTTTTTTTTTTTTTTGTATCTATAAATGGTAACTCAAACACTATGTGGGGTACCTCAAGGATCAATTTTAAGACCATTACTTTTTAATTTGTAAATGCTACTGATTGACTCAATTGCTAACTGTATTTTAGTTAGCAAGTGAGTCAATCAGGATAAGAGTCACAGTGAAACTTACCTCTAAAGAAAATATATTAGGACTTAAACCACACCAAGGAGCAAACATTTATCACATGAAGAATATTGCTAAAATGAGGACATTTCTTTCTCTGAGCAACACGGAGAGACTGATGCAAGCTTATATAACTAACTGGTTTGACTACTACTGTAATGTTCTCCTTTCTGGTCTACCAAAGAATACAATAAATCATCTAAAATTAATTCAAAATTGTGCTGCATGGGTGCTAACTAAAACCAAAACTTTTCTCATTTAGCTGTTCCACACAGTAGAATTAAAATATTTTCTGATGCCCCATTCAGCCATTACACTAAATGCCACTGTAACAACAAATGAAGTGAGAGGTGCATAAGATATTGATATTTTTAAATGTAAATTAAAATGATTTTAATTTACATTAAAAAAATATCTATCTTTTGCAACTCCCACTTCATTTGTTATTACATTGGCATTACGCTGAATAGCATTTTAAATTCTATTTCAATCCTAAATTTAAAACTAACTGGTTTGATTACTACTGTAATGTTCTCCTTTCTGGTCTACCAAAGAATACAATAAATCATCTCAAATTAATTCAAAATTGTGCTGCATGGGTGCTAACTAAAACCAAAACTTCTCATTTAGCTGTTCCACACAGTAGAATTAAAATATTTTCTGATGCCCCATTCAGCCATTACACTAAATGCCACTGTAACAACAAATGAAGTGAGAGGTGCATAAGATATTGATATTTTTAAATGTAAATTAAAATGATTTTAATTTACATTAAAAAAATATCTATCTTTTGCAACTCCCACTTCATTTGTTATTACATTGGCATTACGCTGAATAGCATTTTAAATTCTATTTCAATCCTAAATTTAAAAATTATTATAATTTTGTATATTTTAATTAAATACACTTATTTAGTCTGGCTTTTATATTTATTACCATCATAATCACTTATTTCTATTCTATTTTACTTTTTTATTATAAACAATTTTTGTGCTATTTTCATTTCTTGTATTTTGCGTCAGTCACTTATTTATGCTGGCATTGAATTTGTTTGATAGATGCTATATGAACAGTTTTATTGATTGACTGACTGATAGAAAAATTCTCTGCATCAGAAGCCATTGTTCATACCTTGCTTCCATTAAGAATCCAGTCAGTTCCATCTTTTTTTGCAAATGTAGAGGTGCATAAGATATTGATATTTTTAAATGATTTAATTTAATTAAAAATGATTTTAATTTACATTAAAAAAATATCTATCTTTTGCAACTCCCACTTCATTTGTTATTACATTGGCATTACGCTGAATAGCATTTTAAATTCTATTTCAATCCTAAATTTAAAAATTATTATAATTTTGTATATTTTAATTAAATACACTTATTTAGTCTGGCTTTTATATTTATTACCATCATAATCACTTATTTCTATTCTATTTTACTTTTTTATTATAAACAATTTTTGTGCTATTTTCATTTCTTGTATTTTGCGTCAGTCACTTATTTATGCTGGCATTGAATTTGTTTGATAGATGCTATATGAACAGTTTTATTGATTGACTGACTGATAGAAAAATTCTCTGCATCAGAAGCCATTGTTCATACCTTGCTTCCATTAAGAATCCAGTCAGTTCCATCTTTTTTTGCAAATGTCTTCACTCCTTGAAGGTCACTTCAGAGAGAAAATTAATGTGAACCAGGACGACACGGAACAAATGATTGTGCACTATTTGACTCCGCAAGCATGAAAATGTGATGCACCCTGGGAGTCAGTGTCTTTGTATCTTTAAAAGTATCATTTATTCTTTAATGTCATGCCTGCACTGAAGCCCACCTGCCGGCTCCAGGTTCTGTCATAGCGATGGCCCCGATGCATTTCCCAGCAGTCATCTGTGGAATATAGTCCTCGATCTGAGCCTTAGAGCCATAGTGACTGATATAAGGCATTACAATCTCAGAGTGAAGAGAGAACCCAGGACCACTGCAGTTACAGTACATTCTACAACACAAATAGAGCCAGAACACCCACTACATTACAAACACAGACACACAAAGCCAAGGGGAAAAACCTACATCCTAGACATTCAGCCTTGTGCTTTATTCGAAACTGAAATGCATTTTAAATCCCAGTTCAATTTGAACTGAGACAGCAAGCAAAACATAGAACTGGAATTCAAATTTGAATTTAAGGAAGTAGAATTATGATTGAATTGATTAAAAAACTGACTGCTATGAGTTTAAAACGTATGACTGGTTTGCTACCATATTGTGATGCAGTGAAGTGAAGTGTATTTTTAAATAATTCTTCAAAAACATATCAAGCAGATGAGGTATTTCCAGAGACATTTGATGATATCAATAATCAGTGCTTAAAATGTAGAAACATGTAGAAATGTGTATTTCATATATACAGTGGTGTGAAAAAGTGTTGGCCCCCTTCCAATTTTTTGCATATTTGTCACACTTAAAAGATTCAGATCATCAAACAAATTTTAATATTATTAATATTAAATGCAAGTAAATACAAAATGCAGTTTTTAAATGATTATTTATTTTATTATGGGAAAAAAGCTGTCCAAACCTGCCTGGCCCTACGTGAAAAAGTAATTGCCCCCTAAATCTAATAACTGGTTGTGCCACGCTTTGCAGCAACAACTGCAATACATATGTCTATATTTATTTGTATATATTATTCAATATTTCATTTTATTATTAAAATTTAATATATTTCTATTTTACACTTTCAGAACAGAATATGGAGGACATTTTGGTGTTTGTGTTGTTTTGTGGTAGCAAAATTCAAATTTGTTTTGATGACTGTGGTAATTATTTTGACAGGACTGAACACGAAACATATCTCAGTCTATATCTAATCGGTCCAATTAATTTATTTTATATTTTATTGCATAACTCCTGTTGTATAACTATGATAAATTTGACTGAATTACAGTTCAGTAAATTCCTCTTCCCGTCATTAAAATTTTAATTCCTATGGGATGTCCCATTGAAATTCACATTCATGATTTGAAATAGAAAAGAGAGTTTTAAAATTCAGAATTTTGCCCAATCCACTGTAGGATCAGACAGGTAAGGGAGGAGCTACTATGATAGACCGGTGAAGGCGGGACTACTCACTGCTCCTCCCACACTATAGCAGCAGACAGGAGGTCCCCTCCGATTCCTCCATGCTCCTCAGGTGTATATATTCCCAGCAATCCATGTTCTCCGGCCTTTTTCCAAACCTCTCTGCTGACCTCACCAGCCTTCTCCCACCTATAAGCATACAGTATGTGCATACATTTTGAAACACATTTTCATTCTGTATCTATTACAATTTCATTCTGTATCCATTATGTCATATTCAGAGAGCGATGAACCACACTGGCGACTTACTGAGCGTGATACGGAACAACTTCCTCCTGAAAGAACCGCCGCACATTTTGACGGAACAGGTCATGCTCCTCTAAGAAGATCCGTCTGGTGCCGATGTCCATCAGTGTCTTGGCCATGGACGTTTCTGGTCGAAAGGGTGCTGCTGTTTCCCCATGCTGGATCTCCACATGCTGCATTCTGGGAATCAAATTAACCCCTTTGCTATAGTTCTCCAAATATTATAAATATATTATTACCACTGATATATCATCCCGTTTAATAATATATTCAACCATATTCATTACTCCAAGGTACCATAAAAGACAAAACTGTCCATATACGGAAAAGCATAATACCATTATACTTTTTTGTTATTATTTGCATTCTAATTTCATTCTAAAAAAAAACATTTACTTTAAAAACATGTAAGAAACACCAGTGTAATTTGAAAATGCACATATTAACCTTCTGATTAACCCTTTTTGTTTGCTATTTTTAACCATTCAGGATGTTATGTTACAACAAAACTACAATGAGATTATATTTTTCCCACAATTTTATATATAGCTGCCCTCCTTTTTTCATTATGATAATGTAAATTCAACATTTCTGATCACATTGGTAATACTGAAAAAGATTTTCTATTGCAGACATATAATGTGGGGAAGGATTTAATATGATCATATTCTTTACTATAGAAAGTTAACAGGAAAAATAATAACTTTAATTGTTCGGTGGACCTTATTAAGCTGCCTTACATGCTATATTTTAAAAGACAATATGTGACCCTGGAGCACAAAACCAGTCTTAAGTCGCTGGGGTATATTTGTAGCAATAGCCAAAAATCCATTGTATGGGTCAAAATTATAGATTTTTCTTTTATGCCAAAAATCATTAGGATATTACGAAAAGATCACGCTCCATGAAGATATTTTGTAAATTTCCTACCGTAAATATATCAAAACTTATTTTTTGATTAGTAATATGCATTGCTAAGGACTTCATTTGGATAAATTTAAAGGCAATTTTCTCAATATTTTGATTTTTTTGCACCCTCAGATTCCAGATTTTCAAATAGTTGTATCTTGACCAAATATTGTTCTATCCTAACAAACCATAAATCAATGGATAGCTTATTTCTTCAGCTTTCAGATGATGTATAAATCTCAATTTTGAAAAATTGACACTTTAGACTGGTTTTGTGGTCCAGGGTCACATATATTTAATGTTTTTAGAGATACTCCTTAGCTTTATTGTTTACACCAATGTTTTAGAAAACAACACCTACCAGTTTCCTTATTGATTTTTTACAATCAAAATATAAATGTTGTTCATATGTAAAAAAAACAAAAAAAAAACATTGTTTTTCCTTTCATGCATCCGAGAAATAAATAACTAAAACGAGAACTACTAAAATGAACTATTTCTGTGAATTATGATGAAACATAACTATGATATAACACGAAAGATAATGAAAACAATAAAGTCAACACAAATGAGACTCACCTCGACATAGTCACGCTAAACGCCTGTTTACTCCGCAAATAAACATTTGTCGTCGCAGGAGAAAAACCCCTTAATGCCTTTAGTGCAAACATGCTGATGTGGACGTGATCAACTCAAAAGCTGAGGCGCAATATTTGACAGGTCAAATATCGTCCGTGAACTTTACTCTAATTAAAGAAAGGACCCTTCCGCCTAAAGACGTAAAGACAACCTGTCAAAATAAGAGTCCTTTTACTCTAACGCTGATGATGTCAAATAGAAACTGAACGTAAGGCTGTAATTCACTAGAAATATTCCAAGACATTCTAAAAATTAAAACACGTGAATTAGTCTTGATAGTAATTGTTTGTCACTGAAACGCTATTTTAATGTATACTATCGACACTATCTGAGCCCTGTATATAATGAAATGCCTTTATTCAGAGTACTGAATGTATAATGGTCTTGTTATGCCATGTACTAACATGTAGGCTACTAACCATGTATTAACAGCTAGCCTATAACACTCTACAGCAGAGATAGACCTAACTAACAAGGGTAGACTGCTTTAGACTAGTTTGTTCAGTTTGTCATCCTGTTTTCTAATCCTAGGTCATATCTAATTTGTACAACCTATGTTTTCCAGAGAGTTTCCTCACACCAAGATAATTGCCAAGACAAATTTAACATTAAGGTCATTTTCGCTTTCAGTTTGAAGCTTCCTCGAGAGCGCTTCAGTATTGCAACAAGAAATCATAGATGCAAAAATGTATTGTAAAAAATGAAAGCATTTCATGTTTCTAGACTGTTTCAGTAGTACGATGTGTCATAATCCATGAGGTAGAGGTTAGAATATCCACGTCTTCTTTCTATTTTCCCTTTATTCTCCAATAGAAATAAGACATTAGTGACCTCTACTGGACACCAATAATAAACACATCAAAAATCCCTTTATTTTCTTCGTAATAATTTGTGGATTTTACTAGCAGTTTCTGAGTATGCAAGTATATAAAATATTTATTTTTTTAAATAATTGTGTTGCATCTTTGTGTTTTGTTTTATCAATGCTGTCTCATTGCATTCTCAACTAACTGGCTCTAATATAAGCTGCATTAAAAGCCTTGTCTTCCTAATGATGCGGAAACTGATGCATGAGTGTCACAGGCTGAGAGACTGATGCTGTGCAGAACATGTGGAGCAGTGCTAATGAAGAATCTGAACAAAGAGCCTGTTGTGTTCAGACTCACAGAGAAGAGCCGGATGACCTCTGTCCCACTTTCACACAGACGCAGAGCTGTCTGCTGCTGCTGCAAACATACATGAACAGAAGCATATCAACTCATGCACAGTGAAAGGTGATGCCTTGATCAGCGCAAATAGATATTGGAAATATTGCAAATACTGAATGTGCAAAAGAAATCTCAAAGTGGTTTTAAGACAAATATAGAACACTATAAACCTTACTGCTCTGAGATCAGTGAAAATCTGCTTTGACAAGATTGTGGTGGGTGAACAGAACCTGTCATATGAATTAGGAACAGTACCCACAAACCCTGTCATGCCCTCAATACACCAAACAAACAGTTTGACAGATCAAACACAAATGTACCCTATAAATGGTTGGAAGACATGAAGAAACAACCGTGTTCTTGATTGAAAATGAAGGTTTTCTGTTCAAACCTCTTTTGTTTATTTTGTCTAAATAACACTCTGCACACAAGAAAAATGTACACTGTAAAAAAAAATCCGTAAAATTTACGGTAAAAAACCGGCAGCTGTGGTTGCCGGAATTTTACCGTAAAAAATACGGTAGCAACGTTAAGAAATCAGGAAGGGGGCCAACACTTTTTCACACCACTATATATATATATACATTTACATATGTCTATATTTATTTGTATCTATTATTCAATATTTCATTTTATTATTAAAATTTAATATATTTCTATTTTACACTTTCAGAACAGAATATGGAGGACATTTTGGTGTTTGTGTTGTTTTGTGGTAGCAAAATTCAAATTTGTTTTGATGACTGTGGTAATTATTTTGACAGGACTGAACACGAAACATATCTCAGTCTATATCTAATCGGTCCAATTAATTTATTTTATATTTTATTGCATAACTCCTGTTGTATAACTATGATAAATTTGACTGAATTACAGTTCAGTAAATTCCTCTTCCCGTCATTAAAATTTTAATTCCTATGGGATGTCCCATTGAAATTCACATTCATGATTTGAAATAGAAAAGAGAGTTTTAAAATTCAGAATTTTGCCCAATCCACTGTAGGATCAGACAGGTAAGGGAGGAGCTACTATGATAGACCGGTGAAGGCGGGACTACTCACTGCTCCTCCCACACTATAGCAGCAGACAGGAGGTCCCCTCCGATTCCTCCATGCTCCTCAGGTGTATATATTCCCAGCAATCCATGTTCTCCGGCCTTTTTCCAAACCTCTCTGCTGACCTCACCAGCCTTCTCCCACCTATAAGCATACAGTATGTGCATACATTTTGAAACACATTTTCATTCTGTATCTATTACAATTTCATTCTGTATCCATTATGTCATATTCAGAGAGCGATGAACCACACTGGCGACTTACTGAGCGTGATACGGAACAACTTCCTCCTGAAAGAACCGCCGCACATTTTGACGGAACAGGTCATGCTCCTCTAAGAAGATCCGTCTGGTGCCGATGTCCATCAGTGTCTTGGCCATGGACGTTTCTGGTCGAAAGGGTGCTGCTGTTTCCCCATGCTGGACCTCCACATGCTGCATTCTGGGAATCAAATTAACCCCTTTGCTATAGTTCTCCAAATATTATAAATATATTATTACCACTGATATATCATCCCGTTTAATAATATATTCAACCATATTCATTACTCCAAGGTACCATAAAAGACAAAACTGTCCATATACGGAAAAGCATAATACCATTATACTTTTTTGTTATTATTTGCATTCTAATTTCATTCTAAAAAAAAACATTTACTTTAAAAACATGTAAGAAACACCAGTGTAATTTGAAAATGCACATATTAACCTTCTGATTAACCCTTTTTGTTTGCTATTTTTAACCATTCAGGATGTTATGTTACAACAAAACTACAATGAGATTATATTTTTCCCACAATTTTATATATAGCTGCCCTCCTTTTTTCATTATGATAATGTAAATTCAACATTTCTAATCACATTGGTAATACTGAAAAAGATTTTCTATTGCAGACATATAATGTGGGGAAGGATTTAATATGATCATATTCTTTACTATAGAAAGTTAACAGGAAAAATAATAACTTTAATTGTTCGGTGGACCTTATTAAGCTGCCTTACATGCTATATTTTAAAAGACAATATGTGACCCTGGAGCACAAAACCAGTCTTAAGTCGCTGGGGTATATTTGTAGCAATAGCCAAAAATACATTGTATGGGTCAAAATTATAGATTTTTCTTTTATGCCAAAAATCATTAGGATATTACGAAAAGATCACGCTCCATGAAGATATTTTGTAAATTTCCTACCGTAAATATATCAAAACTTATTTTTTGATTAGTAATATGCATTGCTAAGGACTTCATTTGGATAAATTTAAAGGCAATTTTCTCAATATTTTGATTTTTTTGCACCCTCAGATTCCAGATTTTCAAATAGTTGTATCTTGACCAAATATTGTTCTATCCTAACAAACCATAAATCAATGGATAGCTTATTTCTTCAGCTTTCAGATGATGTATAAATCTCAATTTTGAAAAATTGACACTTTAGACTGGTTTTGTGGTCCAGGGTCACATATATTTAATGTTTTTAGAGATACTCCTTAGCTTTATTGTTTACACCAATGTTTTAGAAAACAACACCTACCAGTTTCCTTATTGATTTTTTACAATCAAAATATAAATGTTGTTCATATGTAAAAAAAACAAAAAAAAAACATTGTTTTTCCTTTCATGCATCCGAGAAATAAATAACTAAAACGAGAACTACTAAAATGAACTATTTCTGTGAATTATGATGAAACATAACTATGATATAACACGAAAGATAATGAAAACAATAAAGTCAACACAAATGAGACTCACCTCGACATAGTCACGCTAAACGCCTGTTTACTCCGCAAATAAACATTTGTCGTCGCAGGAGAAAAACCCCTTAATGCCTTTAGTGCAAACATGCTGATGTGGACGTGATCAACTCAAAAGCTGAGGCGCAATATTTGACAGGTCAAATATCGTCCGTGAACTTTACTCTAATTAAAGAAAGGACCCTTCCGCCTAAAGACGTAAAGACAACCTGTCAAAATAAGAGTCCTTTTACTCTAACGCTGATGATGTCAAATAGAAACTGAACGTAAGGCTGTAATTCACTAGAAATATTCCAAGACATTCTAAAAATTAAAACACGTGAATTAGTCTTGATAGTAATTGTTTGTCACTGAAACGCTATTTTAATGTATACTATCGACACTATCTGAGCCCTGTATATAATGAAATGCCTTTATTCAGAGTACTGAATGTATAATGGTCTTGTTATGCCATGTACTAACATGTAGGCTACTAACCATGTATTAACAGCTAGCCTATAACACTCTACAGCAGAGATAGACCTAACTAACAAGGGTAGACTGCTTTAGACTAGTTTGTTCAGTTTGTCATCCTGTTTTCTAATCCTAGGTCATATCTAATTTGTACAACCTATGTTTTCCAGAGAGTTTCCTCACACCAAGATAATTGCCAAGACAATTTTAACATTAAGGTCATTTTCGCTTTCAGTTTGAAGCTTCCTCGAGAGCGCTTCAGTATTGCAACAAGAAATCATAGATGCAAAAATGTATTGTAAAAAATGAAAGCATTTCATGTTTCTAGACTGTTTCAGTAGTACGATGTGTCATAATCCATGGGGTAGAGGTTAGAATATCCACGTCGTCTTTCTATTTTCCCTTTATTCTCCAATAGAAATAAGACATTAGTGACCTCTACTGGACACCAATAATAAACACATCAAAAATCCCTTTATTTTCTTCGTAATAATTTGTGGATTTTACTAGCAGTTTCTGAGTATGCAAGTATATAAAATATTTATTTTTTTAAATAATTGTGTTGCATCTTTGTGTTTTGTTTTATCAATGCTGTCTCATTGCATTCTCAACTAACTGGCTCTAATATAAGCTGCATTAAAAGCCTTGTCTTCCTAATGATGCGGAAACTGATGCATGAGTGTCACAGGCTGAGAGACTGATGCTGTGCAGAACATGTGGAGCAGTGCTAATGAAGAATCTGAACAAAGAGCCTGTTGTGTTCAGACTCACAGAGAAGAGCCGGATGACCTCTGTCCCACTTTCACACAGACGCAGAGCTGTCTGCTGCTGCTGCAAACATGCATGAACAGAAGCATATCAACTCATGCACAGTGAAAGGTGATGCCTTGATCAGCGCAAATAGATATTGGAAATATTGCAAATACTGAATGTGCAAAAGAAATCTCAAAGTGGTTTTAAGACAAATATAGAACACTATAAACCTTACTGCTCTGAGATCAGTGAAAATCTGCTTTGACAAGATTGTGGTGGGTGAACAGAACCTGTCATATGAATTAGGAACAGTACCCACAAACCCTGTCATGCCCTCAATACACCAAACAAACAGTTTGACAGATCAAACACAAATGTACCCTATAAATGGTTGGAAGACATGAAGAAACAACCGTGTTCTTGATTGAAAATGAAGGTTTTCTGTTCAAACCTCTTTTGTTTATTTTGTCTAAATAACACTCTGCACACAAGAAAAATGTACACTGTAAAAAAAATTCCGTAAAATTTACGGTAAAAAACCGGCAGCTGTGGTTGCCGGAATTTACAGTCTTTTACCGTTAAATTCACGATAATTTTTTAAAGTGTACTTTGTTTAAAATCATATTTTCACTTGACACCAGATTGTTGGGTTTTTTTATTATTATTATTATTTTCATAATAAAAATGAAGGTCTTTCAAAGTTGCCTTTATAGTATGTAAACTAAACTAAACATTGACTAACAAAAAGTAAAAATGATACTTTCAAATTATATTTAGCTTTTATAGTACAATTAAGCATACAAATTCAAAAAATGACCTACATTAATTAACATTTTAGCTTATGTCTAAAGAAAATATATTACATATTAGAAGATGTGAAAGTCAAAACAGCATGTTCTTATTCAGTGAAATCTGAAAAACACTGTCTATAGGTTAATGACAAATTCCCATTATGGCAACTTATATTGGGGCATTTACACAAACGTTCACCATGCATTCGTTCTAAAATATAAATTAGCAATTTTAATAAGACTTTATATGGGCATATACAATTTACCTTGAAATAAACCTACCCTGATATATATACTGACCAAAAAAAAATATATTTTTTAAATTTAATATAAAATTCAATTCAATTCAAGAATGTTTTGCAGAATTTGATAACAGGGATGTATCTCATGTGCATCTGCCAAGCTGATAATGATTTCTCAATAATCAGATGCTTAATGTTCTCAGCATGACACGTGAAAGGATATTCATTGTTCATTTGATGAAGCTATTTGAGGTCACATGTCACCTGACAGCCTGTATGCACTGACACAGGCAGCTCATGCGTGTGACCTGCAGAGGCAATCATGAGCTGTTTAACACACTCCTCCTGCACAGAACACATTCACCATGAGCAACTCACAACCTCCCAAGATAATCGAAGTCATGTCAAGTCATGTTAAGTCGTGTCAAATAAGCATTAGTCTATATATGTATAAAATATTTAATATATCTTTATATTTTCCTATAAAGTCATATAATCATATACATCAACTTCTGTAATGATTCGATTTATGCAATAAATATACACTAGAGATACAGACTCAATGCTTGTAAGTATAGTAAGTGCAAGATAAAAATGAGGAGGCATCCAAAAGTAAACAAGCAAAGAGAAATGAAAAAAATTAAATTAGTCATTTGATCTTTTCTCTTTGTATTTTTCTGCTAACATATACCCTTAAAAATAAAACTGCTTCAAAAGGTTCTTCAGAGCGATGCCATAGAAGAACCATTTTTGGTTCCACAAAGAACCATTTAGTCAAAGGTTCTTTAAAGAACCATCTCATACCTTTTTATAATCTGAAGAAACTTATTTTGCCACAAACAGGACGGTTCTGCAGATGTTAAAGGTTCTTTATGGAACCATTTAGACACAAAGGTTCTTCTATGGCATTGTGAAGCACCTTTAGTATTAAGAGTGTATTACAATATTATCCCTATTGTATTACATGGGAACACTGTCACAAGGTTTATAGCTTTTTTGATCGAAGTTTTTGATCAAAAGTCGAATTAATAAAATGTTTTTGTCTACCAGTGGTTTTATATGCTGCTCTCTAGTTTAAGACCTTCTTAAATTAGAATCATTTCAGTAAATTCTGCCCTTCAAACTAACATTTGTATTTTATCCCATTTTTATAACAGCTTTGGGTAAGCATAATGAACTGTGAACAGTGTTGCAGGACGAGGTTGTTTTTTCCTTCATAAAAGTCAGATTAGTATGTCATATTTTTATTGGGGTAAGTGCTATATATATTTTACAAGTAACTTATAAAATTTTCCTAAAATGTAGGGAAACATTTTTTTGTTGTTTTTAAATAGTTCAAGCTTAATATTTTAGAACTTTTTGTATTTTTGTTGTTTCATCATTGATTTTGTGTTTCATAACTGTTTGCTAAAAGGCCCATAAAATGCCAGTTCCCATGGAGACATCAGTGTCATAATATCATATCAATCCATCAATACTCCATACCGCTTTATCCATAAAAGCACATATGAAATCTAATATAACAAGTCTTCTATCTATCTATCTATCTATCTATCTATCTATCTATCCCAGCCAACGCATGTGTAGCCTGTTACCTTACAGCTCTCTCTATACCCATATCTCTGTACCTCTTAATTTGCATGTCAATCTGCATTGACATAAACTGGTTCTTTTCAGAGTGCTGTCTTGTCTTGTCTCTTATCTGCTCTTTTTTGCGCTCATCGGTCGTTTGCTGCCCCGCCGCATGAATGAATGCGAGATGCGCATGTGACGCAGGTGCTTCAGACTGACGCACATGGGCGGATGTGACCGTGCCGTCCTCCTCCTCCCTCCATCCATGAGCTGCTGGAGTCAGGGCCCGTTATACACGAGGAGCTCCCATCAGCTTATCCGCTGTTAATTTTAGGCAGCGACCTGGTTTCAGCACTGCAGGGACTCAACAGCTCCCGCGGAACTAAAGCCCTTGCGCTTATAGAGGAGAGGCGCTGAGAGCGCGGCATCCTGCCAACCCCAGCGCGCTCCACAAAACCAACCCAACGGCGCGTTTATCTTCACAGAGGACAACAGAGAGAGCTTTAGAGAAAACATCTGAAGACCAGCTGAAGGATGGCGTCAAAACGCGTAGGGATTGTGGTTGTCCTTGCTGTGATATCGCAGATCAGCGCGTTTCCCACACCTGCCGGACCCGACGGTGAGTTACTGAATAACCAACAAGCCTATAGTCCAACACATCGGTCCAATATATTAGAAGATGTGGAACATTTGATTTAGAAGATTCATCCGACGGAGTGGAACACACAAAACATGCATGACGTGTAATAAAACTAAAAATTGCTTAATGTATAGATTAATATATAGGCCACGTTAAATACATATTTTGCTATTTTGATATTTAGGACAGCGTCCAACTGACTCATTAACACACGTCTGGACTTCAGCGTGCACATGCTGTGCTTTCAAATGAAAGTAAATGTTAGGATCTCTGGTTAATTTCAACAATTACATATGTATTAAGTTGTATTTTACATAGGCTATAATGTGTATATATGGATTATGTTGGCAATCAGTATATATTAATCATTGAAAAACCCATATTGGCTTATAACTCCATATAAATATGGGAAGAAGGTGAATGAATTGGATGGTTTATTTTGTTTGTTTGTTGTTTTCATCATTTATTGTATAGCAAGCTCTAGCCTCAGTTTTCAAAGGCCTTTAATCTTTTGTCCTGTAATCCGATTATTCCGTGGCAGCTTCTCTTGGACAGTTTGGACTGCAACTGAATGCATAGAAGATCTCAACAACCATAGACAGATTGAAGAAAATGCATATTAATAACTATTTCTTTAGGGTAAAAATAGTCTTGTGTAAATGTAGAGTGTCTTGATTCCTTAAAAATTATAGTCGATTCATACAACATAGGTGCACAGATTTTGTTTTTCAAAAACTCA